AAAAAGAAAAAAGCCAGAAGTGGTGCTGTGGCTCAAGTGGTAGAGTGCTAGCCTTGAGCTGAAGAGCTGAGGGACAGCTCCCAGGCCCAGAGTTCAGGCTCCACGACCGGACCCAAACAAAAAAAAGAATTAAAAAAAAAAAAAGAAATGGAAAGACAACCGGACCCAAACAAAAAAAAGAATTAAAAAAAAAAAGAAATGGAAAGACATGTGAAGTAAACAGGGCCCAGAGGGACAAAGGATTACTGCTTTCCCTAATATATGGAAGCTAGATTTAGCTTATGAATTTATAAGTATATACACTGGGTGGTATGCAAGTGTATAAAATGTATTAACTGAAATATAGTAGATTGAAGGGAAGATCCAGTGTAATTCCTAAGAAAGGCAAAGTCAAAAGTTCAACAAAATAAACACCAGGAAACTGAAGGGAAAATTTAAAAAGTGTAATTCCTAAGAAAGGCAAAGTCAAAGTCCAACAAAATACACACCAGGAAACAAGTACTTGAAAGGGGTTGGGTGGGGTGAAAAGGAAAGAAGCAGACCAATGAAGGAGAAGAATGGGAGAATATAGTGATTCTAGGCTGGAAGTGAGCACTAGACTTAAGCTAAAAGAGCTCAGGGAATGTGCCCAGGCCCAGAGTTCAAGCCCAAAGATTGGCAAAAAGAAAAAAGTCATATATTCAAATGTAAAACAAACAGAAATTCAGTTTTAATGATAAAGTAAAACGAAATCATTCAAAGTTCACAAATCAAGCAACTTCACAAAGATTTTTTAAAAATATAATCTTTAGTGTTGCTGAGAGCATAGTGCATAGGTTCATATGCTGCTGGACAAAGGAGAAATTTCTGAAACATAATCTGAAATTACTAAGACTTAAAATGTTCATATCCTTTGACCTCAAAATCTACTTCCCTGTATTTACCATAAGGGAAAAATCAGAGAGATTAAGATTTATGTAGAACTGAGCGTGGTGGCACCTGCCTGTAATCCCAACACTTAAGATTGAGGCAGGAGGATCCTTAGTTCTAGGCCAGCCTAGGATATACAAGAAGACATTACCTCAAAAAAATGATTAAGGTACAAAAAATGTTTCCTATAGGCCTGGCACCGGTGGCTCATGCCTGTAATCCTAGCTACTAAGAATGCTGAGGTCAGAGGATTACAGTTCAAATTCAGCCCAGGCAAGAAAGTCCATGAGACTCTTATCTCCAATAAACAACCAGAAAACCAAAGGGGTGCTGTGGCTCATTGGTAGAGTGCTGGTCTTGAGCTCAAGAACAGTGACAAGGCCCAGTGTTCAAGCCCCACAACTGACAAAAAATGAAAAAATGTCTTATAGCTTTATCTTACTATGTTAAACAGTCATGAATATATCCCAACAATGAACAATGATTTAATAAATTATAATGGCCAGGTAAAAGAGTATCACATAGGCTAGGCACAGGTGTTGCCAAGTTTCAAAGCTAGCCCCAGCAGAAAAGTTCATGAACCCCTTTCTCAACCTACAGCTGGGTACAATGGTGTATACTTGTTATCTTTCTTTTTTGGGCCAGGTTGTGGGGCCTAAACTCTGGGCCTGGGCGCTGTCCCTCAGCTCTTCAGCTCAAGGCTAGCACTCTACCGCTTAAGCCACAGTGCCACTTCTGGCTTTTTTCTTTTTGCTTATGTGGTGCTGAGGAATCAAACCCAGGGCCTCATGCATGCAAGGCAAGCAAGCGCTCTACCACTGAGCCACCTTCCCAGCCCCTTGTCATCTTTCTTAAGCTGAGATTGGAAGGGTCTCAGGGCTGGTGCCAGACTAGTCCAGGTAGATTCTATCTCCATGAAAGGAAAGCAAGATGTGTGGTGTATACCTATAATTCCAATAACGATTGGAAGCCTAAAAGGAGGAGCTATGTGTCCACATAGGAAGTGAGAACCTATCCTAAGAATAACCAGTGAAATAAAGGGCTGGAGGCATGGTCCTGAGTTCAAACCCCATTAGAGTTGATAAATAAATAAAATTTTTAGAAAAGAAGAAAAAAGACTGCCATGCAGCAATTTGTCATTTTGCAAATACTTCATAGTGTGGAAAAATTCTAAAGGTTGATTATTAAATAAAAAAATAAAGATATAAAACTATATGGATGGGGGCAGAGGGAGGATGGGAAGGGGTGGGAAGGGGAAACAAAGGAGGAGGCTACAATGCTTGATAAGAAATGTACTCATTATCTTGCCCATGTAATTGTAACTCCTCTGTACAGTATTTTCACAACAAAAAAAAACCTATGCAGATGGGCTGGAGATGTAGAGTAGTAGTAATGTGCTTGCCTAGCATGAGCAAGGCTGTAGGTTTGACCCCCAGCAATTCAGGAAAAGGAAAGTTCATTAACTATTCAGCCAATCACATGCACATCTACCCCCCTCCAAAGAAACCAAAAATTAAACACTGAAGTTTTATCTAGCTAGATATGAGCACAGAAAATATTAATAGTAGTAGTAGTAGTTGTACAACAGGTATAATTTATAATTTTTACTATGAAAATTATCTCTATGTATGTATCTATTTATGTATCTATCTATCTATCTATCTTCACTAATATATCAGAATAGAAATAAGCAAAAGATTTACCGTTTCTTTCATCTGGATTTGATTGATCTTTATCCTGAAAAGTTTGTGTTTGAAATCATCATTACAAATGAACTTGTCACCATCTTCAATGTCTTTACCCTTTGGATTTTTTGCCAAGACTCTAGCTTTGCCACAAGCTAATGATTGCAGTGTTCTCCTTAACTCTCCATCCTCTGAAGAAAGAACAGTTTTAGTTATTGGTTAGTAGATTCAGCATTGAAGAGTGACATTCAACATCAATGTATTTTCCACCCACACATCTATTAAAGCTGTTTCATTTACCCCAAGGTCACCGAAGACTTTTCTGTTCTATTTAAAAGCAGGTTTCAGCCAGGCACCAGTGGCTCACACCTGTAATCCTAGCTACTCAGGAGGCTGAGATCTGAGGACAGAGGTTCAAAGCCAGCCTGGGCAGGAAAAGTCTGAGAGCCTCTTATCTCCAATAAACCACTCAGAAAACCAGAAGTGGAGCTGTGACTCAAGTGGTAAAGCACTAGCCTTGAGCTGAAATGCTCAGGGACAGCACCCAGGCCCAGAGTTCAAGCTTGGTGACTGACCAAAAAAGGAAAATAAAAACAGATTTCCTGAGGCTGGGAATGTGGCTTAGTGGCAGAGTGCTTGCCTAGCATAAATGAAGCCCTGGGTTCAATTCTTCAGTACCACATAAACAGAGAAATCCGGAAGTGGAACTGTGGCTCAAGTAGTAGAGTGCTAGCCTTGAGCAAAAGAAGCTCAAGGACAGTGTCCAGGCCTGAGTTCAAGCCCCAGGACTGTCAAAAAAAAAAGCAGGTTTCCTAGCTGTCTCCTAAAAGTGTCAATCAGTCCATGCAGACAACTAGCAAATCATCAGCAATAACATTTTACTTCTCTCTAATTTCTCATCTACAGGGTATCTCCATTTGGGTGTTTTGCTATTAACTCCAATATGAGCATAATGTTCTATAATCTCAATTTTCCCATAAATTTTTATGCTTTTCCAAACTGTTAGTAATATTACTATAACTTATACTGGTGACATAATCCTGGAATCATCTTTAACGTCTTTGATCTAATTCCTCTATGTATCTAGGAGTTGTTTTTATTTATGTATTTATATATTTTATTTATTTATTGTTAGTCATGATGCTTGAACATAGGGTCTGGGTGCTGTCCCTGATCTCTAGCACTGCACCACTTTCTAGTAGTTGCTTTTTAGAAAAAGCTCTTCTCCATTCTCACTGCCTCATTCTAGTATAAGCCCCTTAGTTCTTTATCCCTGGATTATCTTTATAGCTTCTGAACTACAACCTCTTCATTCTCCAAGTTGTCCTATTGATTTCAGGAAAGTTGTCCAAGCAAGGTATTCCCATTACATCACACATGAGACAAATAGAACATGTATTTAGTTTACTAGACTTATCAGGCTCCATGATCAGATCCTACCTATCTTACTTAATACATTTTATTTCTCACTTGTCTAGGCTACAATTAGGCTTTTTGATTTCTGCCTACATTCTACTGTTTCTATTCCAAGCCTCATTTCAAATGGGTTTCCCCCTGCTTTAATATGCTTTTTTTTGACAGTCTTGGAGCTTGAACTCAGGGTCTAGGCACTGTCCCTGAGCTTCTTTTGCTCAAGGCTAGCACTCAACTACTTAAGCCACAGTAACATTTCTGGCTTTTTCTGAGTAGTTTACTGAGAATAAGAGTCACAGAGCCAGGGGCTGGTGGCTCATGCCTGTAATCCTAGCTACTCAGGAGGCTGAGATCTGAGGATTGCGGTTCAAAGCCAGCCCGGGCAGGAGAGACCGTGAGACTCCT